ATTTGTTCGATGCCATTTGCTGTATCCACTCTCACTTAGTTCGTGCCACAGATGTTGTATAACTGTTTTTCCTTTCATTTCCTCTCGTCTAATTTTCTGTGATTCATTGTACACTTCTCTCAAGGACGCAGCCGTATCCGGATTCATCTGCCTCAGATGATGCAAAATTTCCTTCGGCTTCACATGGCTCTTTTTCAGTATCTTTGTCACTTCTCGTTGCTCTTCAGTCAGGCGACTTAGCGAACGTAGTCCTTGTGGATATTTATGAGGATTATGATTGTGCTTGCCATTTTTTATGGTAAGGCGCCATAATCCATCACGACCCTCTTTACCCCATAGCGCAAAAGGGCATTTACACTTTATTGAACCGGACTTCCGGCTTGTTTCGACCTCTGCATTTTTTCCTCGACTCTTATAGGCTCTTTTGCAAGTTAAATACTGTCGGCCTTCGTGGTAAGACTGTCGCCTAATCTCATGTCCATGACTGATGGCCATATTCATCGCCCACTCGACTAGTGCATCTTTACTATCAAATGCAGTCGAAATTGTGAAAAATTCACTGAAATCATGTAGCTCGAATGTTTCAATATCTTCATCCACATCTATGTATACTTCCTGTTTTTATATTAATGTAATTAGCAAATTATAAAACTAAAGGATAAAACTAAAAAAAAAAAAAAAAAAAAAAAAAAAAAAAAAAAAAAATTGTGGTGCTCGTGTGATTTCACACGAACAGAGAGGTTCTGCTCGTGTGATTTCACACGAGCAAACCTCCTCTGCTCGTGTGAAATCACACGAGCTAATTAAAAAAAAAAAAAAAAATTGTTCTTGAGCTCGTGTGAATTTACGCGAGCACTTGGTGAGTGCCACGTAAATCACACGAGTAGATGAATTCTCGGTGAAAAAAACGAAAAACTTACATACGGGTCTAAGTTGATTTGGATCCATCGCAAAAATTGTTGAATATCTGAAATGTGCACTTTGAATGTTGAGTTTCCTTTTTTTATAGGATTTGATAGGAATAGTACAAAAGGTAAATAGTTATGGTAAAAAGGTAAAAAACCATGGTAAAAAAGTGCCTGAATGTTTAATTTGGCCTGCGTATATCACCACCCTATTACTTTGTAGCATAGTAATATTAACACAACAAAAATCAATATTATTGTGTAATAGAGTAATATTAACATGTTGACCGTTCAACAAATGCAAACATAATAAAAAGCCAAAAGAATTAATATTGATGTGGTTGACATTAATATTATTGTCGACCACAGTAATATTATCGCCAACCACAATAATATTATTGTGTTTACAGTAATATTACAATAGTAGACAGTAATATTAGTACATTAATCGGTTAACAAATAAAAGAAGGGCAAAAAAATAAATTAGATAATATTGTTGTGGTTGACAGTAATATTATTGTGTTTACAGTAATTTTACTGTCAACGACGGTAATATTATTACGCTGACCTGTCAACAAAAAAAAAAAACCTAGAAAATATTAATATTAATGTGGTTGACAGTAATTATACAATCAATAACAATACAATTACTGTCAGTGACAGTATAATTACTGTTAATGATAGTACAATTACAGTCAACGTTCAGCGGCGGGCGTAAAAAATGTATAAAAATTTTAGGAAAAAGAAAATTCGAAAAAAGTCAACGCCAGAAACCGGCGATTAAAAAATCAGAAAAAAAAAGTTTAAAAAATGAAAAAGTCAAAATTGGATTTTTGTCGTCAAAATTGATGAAATTGAAGTTAAATTGGGGTTACAATTAGTAATTGAGTTTAAATGATTGGAAGTAATTTGTCATATGCATTAATTTTGCGTTTATTTATTATACATATTAAAATGATGAACTTATTGACGAAAGAGATATAACTCATCAATCTAGAATAATAAAGATGGTTGGTCAATAACTTACGCATAAAAACCCTTAAATAATATATATAAAGGGGCCCATGCATTACGATCCGAAATTTTACGGTATTCCGCCCAAAGAGATTCCAACATGACTAAAAACGTTCTCACAGGTCTAAAGTAGACCGCTTGTAGATATTATTTTTTAGAAATATATTGAAAGTTATTATGAAGTAATAGAGATATCTAATAAATTGTTAAAAGCTTCTCCATTTTATTTACCTTGTAGAACATACGAACCTAGAAGTTTGATGGATTGATTTAGAAGGTCGAAGATCCGTATGATTATATCAATCACCACCATTCATTAGTAGGTGGATTAGTATATATAGCAGTATAATTTTTTTTATAAATCAATTAAACTAACTTGTAAACATTTAGAGTTATAAAACATAGGTCCTCCAATATCTTAAAATCCGTCATGCGATTTGCCCTTAAGGTCGCTCATGCATTGTGGATTTCAATTATGCTGAACCACTTTAGAGTTTCTTCTTCATATTACGATTAAAATGAAAAATAAACCTGTAATTGAAAAGTAAACTAAATAATATATTAAATAATGTTAGCACAGGATATGTTTTCTTTAGCAAAAAGGGAGTTGGACTCTCTCGTATTTATCTAGAAACTCAGACCCGACCTGGCCCCGTGTTGATCTTGGATCGGGAATTGGCATATGCTCGAGTCTATCCGGGACCCGAATTTTTAATGTGAAATGTGGTAGAATTTTACCAGACCCGCCCCGTTTACCCTGTATCTAGAATGAAACCTGCCAGACCCAGACCGCCACACCCCCGACTTTTAATGTGAAATGTATACGGGTTGACTCTGAGACCTTTGCATGCATATCTAGGCCTCTTTTGGTTTTGATGATGGGATTGTATGGTACATGATTGATTATGTGGGATTTTACAAGATTATATAATATCTTGTCTGGTTTATTGAAATTTTGGTATATGCCCATAAATATAACCATTTTATTTGTACTTCTTTTAATTAAATTAAATGGGATTGTAAGGATAAAGACCAAATTGCCCATATTCCCTTTCCTTTGTGTTCGAATACTATTTTAATGCACTTAAGACTTATTATTTTATATTTTTTTTGTTAAAAACATAGAGCAAATAGTACATAACCTCATGTGTTATTTCTAATTGGTGAAAAACACCTTCCGTTAAATATATTACCAAGAAACTCTCTATATTGTGTTTTTCAAAGAACACCAGCCCCTATTTCGAAATTGAATGTTGACTTATATAAAATGAATGAACAACCCTTACAAAATAAATATTAAAAAAAGACTAAAAAAAAAAAACATAACAAAACGCAAAAAACAATTGCAACAAAACCCAACCCAATGTCTCTTCTCCGACGAGGTCCCTCTTCTCCAACACTGTGTGAAAAAAATAATATCGATTCTTTAATGTTCATGCCTTACATCTCGTCACAATCAAATCTCAAGTAAAGATGGCTGACTGGGAAGATATAAAGTACGAGACCACCTATTCCACTCTCCGGCGAGCTGTCCAACACAATATTCTCTAAAGAACACCGTCGAGATGGATGGGCGGGGAGGGGATTTCGAGAATTGCGGTGAAGGGTCAGGGTGTTTGTGGTAAGAAGAGCGGATGAGGCGGGTGGTGGAAGGAAGGGGTAGCGACGTCGGTGTGGAAAGGTGATTGTCGGCAGTGGTGTTGTGAGTTTGGTGGTGGTGGTGATTTCAATGGGGAAGAAGAAGAATTTTGGAGAAGACATGTTTTTTTCTCCCTGTTTAGAGGCGGCAGCTTGACTAGGTGATTAGCGATGGTGGTGGTGGTGGTGGGATTGCCGGTGGTCGTGGCGATTTCAATAGGGGAAAAATAATTTTTGGGAAGACGCAATTTTCTCTCTCCTCTTCTTCTTTTCCCTTTTTTTCCATAAAAAAATGTGTTATTTGTTATGAAATGTATTTTAATGTGGATGTCCAAAGGTCATGAGAAGTTACAAACCAATTTAGTGTGTCCATTAAAGGGGTTTAATTCTTCTTAATCATATTATAACTTTTGTCCTTTTGATTGTCTTATTTGTGCTGTAAGAGGAAAAATTTTTGTTCCAATAAAAATATACACAAGTTCAACTCCAAACATAACACTTCGCATTTGTAGAAGCGAACTGAGGGAGTAGTTGATACGATCTCGATTGCTCTAAAGCTCAAATAGTAAGAATCTCACACAAAAGCTAGAGGTAGCCTAGACCTACTATCACCTTGCCCACATGTCACTACCCCACGTGGGGTGGACATAGACGACAGATATGACTGCATTCGACCCAATATCAGAAAAAAAAACGAAAAGTCTAACATGACATGGACTAAGGAGATAACCAGGAACAATCACACCAGCTGGCTCTCTCCATTGAACGGACCCTGATCTCAAGTCGCTTTCAACAGAAAAACACTACTCATACTAGTCACACCACTCACGCGTGTGATCTGACCAATGACATAACATGGCCATCACATCCCTACAACATGTATGAATATGGTCTTGAAACACAAGGGAAGGACAACGCTCTCGGGTATTCCTAATACACTCTCATTTTTACTATATTTCTCATAACAAACTTATAATGTTTCTCCACAATTCCAACTCGCTTGACCATTGGAGTGCAAATGCCGAAAAACCTTCCCACTACATTCTTCTTTACAGATCTCTCAAAACGTGTGGGTTTCTTCTTATTTGTGATTTTCTCACTCCAGGACCATTCCACTTCTTCAATTTATAATTGAGCCATTTACGCCAGATTAAGAGCTACTGGTCAATCACATACAGAGGACTGGGAAGTATGTGGGTTGGTCTTCACTTTGTCTTCGACAAACATTGAATCCTTCATAGGCAAAAACGGCCAATCTTGCGGTAGAGTTAGACCAAGGTAATAACTGAAACAATGTTATCTTTGAAGGCGAGGCACCAAGAAGGGGGTGCCGATTTGAAATTAAATGTGAATATAGAAATAGAAAAGTAAAGAGAAAACTGAAAATAAATTATTATTATTTATAAATCAAAATCAAAATTCAAGGAGGGAACTATAAATAAGGATCCCTAGACCATGAGGCACCAAAAAAGGGGCGTCGATTTGAAGTTAAACGTGAAAATATCAAAAAATCAAATTTCAAGGAGGGAACTATAAATAAGGATCCCTGACCATTTGTCTTCAAGCAGTTTCCGTTTTCACTCTTCCATTTCATTTCGCCGGGAAAATCTCTCTCCAATTCTCTCTCTCTCTCTCTCTCTCTCTCTCTCTCTCTCTCTCTCTCTCTCTCTCTCTCTCTCTCTCATTGGAGATAATTTTAGAGCTGAGAATAGAATTTCGGTTCTTCGTTAACCTACTCGCAGCAACCATTTTTGTAAGTATACGTTGCTTTCGTGTTTAACGTAATCGCGTTTTCGCCTTCTTTTACATGATTGTTTTTGCATTGATTGAGCTAATTGATTAATATTTTCCTGAATTTCTACCTCCTTTAGATTCTGAAACTGATTCGCAACTGGTTAATTGCAATTAATTTTACTCAGATGAATTTAATACGGTTTTTCTTCACTGATTAAATTCCTATTAACGACGACGTATTTACTCGAATTGGTAGGCTTTTCGTGAATTTCAATTTCCGCTTGATTTGGTGCCTCTTACGAATCTATAAACATTTCGAATGAGATTGTATTTAAAGTTCTTAATTATGTATGTCAATTGTCAGCTTTTAGGTTTTTCGATAAAAAAAACGATTTCTCCTAATCTAAGTAGCTTATTGTGTACTGGAAGTTTAATACTGTAATATAATGAAGGTGTGTATTTACGGTAATAATTTCGGGCTTAGAAATTTGATGTTGCGAATTCCGTTGGCTGTATGTGGTTAAGAATTGGTGGTCGGGGAACGGTAGTGGAGATTTTGTGTGCGCATACAGCTCGGATACTAAATAGTGCCAACTGATATAACATTATAGAAGCAACTGATATATGGAGAGGTCTACTGATTTTTTTGGTTTCGTTTGGTGGTTTTTGAGGAAGGTTGTAATCTCTAAGCTAATGAATATGCTAAATTATCCTTAATCCGGTCGTTTTATGTTATTACAGGCATTTCAGCGTTGTCTAGATGGGCTTTGTTATTTTACAAGTAAGAGTTAATTGATATAACATCTGGATGAGTACCTTACTGAGTAGTCCCGGTGATAGGGATACTGTGCAGGTAAATAACCTTATCAATCTTCTTGTAATTTCTAGTCGAATTTATCTGTAGAGAAGCACCTGAAATATTTTTAATAGAAAAATGTGAAAAATTGGGCTCGACTCTTTTTAAGAGCATGTGATATGTTATTGTTGTAATCTCCTTAACTCTCTTTATAGCTTGAGAATTCGAACATTTGGCTTCTTAAATAGGTAAATGCAAAAGTATTTTTAGTTTTCTTTACAGATGTGTGGATATAATTGGACTTACTGAAAATCACCGTAAAAAATGTGCGAAACGGTTGGATAAAGAAGATAATCATTCTTTGCCAAATTAGTGCATGCTGTTCGTTTTTTCATTTTGTGGCTTAGAGTTTCTACACCCAAGTAACCTGACTGAACCCCTGTCTAAATTATGGTGTTGTTCTGTAATGGTCCATTTGAAGTTTTTCTTTTCCTATTTTTTTGTTTACTTTTGTTAAGGGTGATTCTCTTTCCCCGACGAATAAACGCAAATATATTGATTGTTTATTATACTTATTATTTCGTTCTTCTAAATTCCACTGCAGGCCATCAATGCCTTAAAGAAAGGTTCTTATCTTCTGAAGTACGGGCGATGGGGAAAACCAAAGTTTTGTCCGTTCCAGCTTTCAAACGTTAGCTTCACTTCTATTCTATTGCTGTAACAGTTTACATAATTGTCTAAAAGAACTAATAAAGTAAGAATTAAACATTTACCGAAGTTGTTCCCTGGGAGCTGAATATTATATCCTCAGTCATCTAGAGTTTTTTTATGTCAATTGCTTCATATATGTGTAGACACACACACACACACATATATAATTTGTTAGGGTAATTAATTAATCTTCCCATCATAATTAATTTTGTTCTCCTTGCATTTTTCGTGATATATATATATATATATATATATATATATATATATATATATATATATATATATATATATATATATATATATATCTTAAATTTAATGTCATCCTATTTTCTATTTTGGGGTGATTGTGTTGCTTTACATCTTCTGTCAAAAAGTTGTGTCAAGACCTCTGCGATGTAAACTTAACCAAGTGTTCATGCGAGATGTTTATGGCTTTTGGTTCTTGAGTTGTATTTAATTATCCATGACAGATTATGATTATAATTTGGAAGTTTGCAAATCCAACTCGTTTACTTCTTTACTTGTTCTGTAAGTAAGTAAACATTTCAAAGTGCTTTGGCATTTTAAATCCTCTTGTGCAGTACTCGGCTTCGTCTTTTGTTTTCGGCTACTCTCAGGAAACAAAAGGGACAGTACAACATTGTTATTATATAAAGTGTATAAACTTTTAGGAACAAATTGTTTTGGTGATTCCTTGCCATTTTCTTATTTTCTCCCCCATTTTGATTTATTGATTTCTCAGGACGAGACGACACTAATTTGGTATGTTGGAAAAGAGCAGAAACAGCTTCAACTAAGTAAAGTTTCAAGAATTATACCTGGACAACGTACAGTAAGTTTCTATCGGTATCACCTATTAGAATTGAACAATATCTTACTATTTTAATCTCATGTGCATGCCCACTGAAAGATATGGTCAACTGTGACTTGTCATTGACATATTCAGTTTGAAAAAAAAATGCAGAGAAGAACTTCCCTTGAACTTTATTTGTACAGATAAATTTTGTTCTGCATGTTGGAACCCGATGTTACAAAAAACATGTATTCTTGACTTTGTATTACTTTTCATTTTATTTTGTAGTTTAGGAACAGAAAACATAAGTCGATATATTTGCAGTTTGGGGTGGGTAAGATACGGGGGCGAGGAAATATTTCTATTTCTTTTTCTGCTTAGAATAACTGAATCGATATTCCAATCCAGATTGCAATTTGGACTACCATATTGCCATCTGCAAGGATGTTTTTATGGTTTTCATACACAGCAAGCAAAAACGAGGACTAAAGTTTAATAAAGGACTAAATGTATGTTGGTCATTTTTAGTTTAATAAAGGACTAAAGTTTGTTTGGTGTTATTGGTTCTTTTCTTGGAAGCATAATGTCTTCATGTTCCTTCTTTGTAGCAAGTAGAGGTAAAATCCATAGGGGGTAAAAATGCCTTTTGTTCTTATTTGTTTAGCAATTATGACACTGAGTGAGTATAGAAAATGTGGAGCAATTTTGTCCCACTAGATTTAAAATGATCTTACTGTTGAATTGGTCAATCACCTTGATGTGCATCTTTATGAATAGTACAGTGTGAACCTCCGTATATTTTCTAACAGTTTCATCACTTATTTTAACATCCAATTTTCAATTTTTTGTATTGCTGGCCTTCTCTTCTTATAACCATTTGCTGGACAATTTTCTGCTTATCGAACCATCGTTCTTTCTATTGCCTACGCAAACAAAAGTCGAGATCAATTATTTTGTTTGTGACCGTGTATTAATCTTGGTAGTTGCTTTGTCTCTTAAATTGCTTCAAAATTTGAAGATAGATCTTCTTGTTATTGTTGCATCACAATACAAATAGCCGTTAATGCATAGTCAGGTGTACAGTGAATAGTTATTATCCTCATGGATTTCCTGCTTGGATGTATATTCTAAAACGACACATCAAGTTCATTATTTTTATACTATTCAGATTTTGAAGCATATAAATTTCTATAATTTGCACGTGGGCACAAGCATGAAGTTGTATACCTTTTCATTTTTGGGGGCACATGTATTTAATATAATGATTTCTAAAATTAATATAATAATTATTGAACTGTATTAGAACAGTTCAACTGTACTTCAATAACCTCCAACATTCTGTTGATCGAATGTATAATTCATGATTATGCAGGCGATATTTCAGAGGTATCCACAGCCTGAGAAGGAATATCAGTCATTTTCTCTTATCTATGGAAAAAGATCCTTGGATGTGGTACGTAATATTTAGGTAATCTTCTGATTTCCGTAACTTGATTGTCTGCTGATCTACATACAACTTGCAGTATTCACATGCTGATCCTCGGGAATGTTCTACTTCTCCTTATCTGTGTGTGTGTATCCGTGTCAATCTATTTACCCTGGGTACACTAAAATATAGTTGCGTCTATTATTCAAATGGTTTAAATATGTGAGTTTTGTGGGGTATGTTACAATATATACTAGACCTACTTTTTTCCTGTCGAAAGATGACTAAATAACTTCGAGAATTGGGATGAAACTGGAAAAATGTTTTAGAGAAGATAGCAGCGACATAACCATTTTCAATACTCCCACCACATTTACTAATGAATTAAAAGGTTCCTCCCAGGCAATTGGAGTAAGTAATCCATGTGCAGCAACACTTGAAGGTTTTCTCGTCTAATCCGACCTTATGGCCTAATAAGAATGGCTAAGTACAAAAGTAATCGTTGATGTTCTTATTACAAATTAATCCAGTTAGCTTTCAGAAATAATATTGAGGTGTTACAAGTAACTCCTTCAGGTTTGTTTTTTTACTACAAACGCCCAACTTTGGAGGTTGCAATTTGCAAAACATAAATAAATGTCAAGGGAGTATTTGTGATATACCAACTTTACGTGGTTTTATTGTAAATAGGCTAAAGCTCAAGGTTAGTTTTTGTAATTAACACTAAGAACCATGATGCCAAAATATGAAGCGGTTATGGAAGTTCATTCAGTTCTAACTTCTGTTTCTGTAATGGCTGTTTAATTGAAAAGGGCTGACATTTTTAAAGCAATTTTTTGGAACGTCAAGAGAAAAGAATTAACATGCCAAAGTTATTGAGTCACAATTATTTTTTTTTTAAATCAAGAGGTTCTGAAGTTGAACTTTGATGAATCCAACTGATTATATAACATGGAGGCAGAAACTGTAAAATGCTTCTTGACAATGAGTGATCCAACGAGTGATACATGACATTTATGATTTAATCTTGAAGAACTCATTATACTTAATGAAGATGGTTTACTCTGTTATTTCAGCTGCTTGTGTACGGTTTCTGCTCTTGATTTGATTCAGTTCTGCTGATAACGAATCTCGATAGAAAGTTTCCTAAGTTATGATTGTATCAAGATACTCGAAGATTGGAGTGTATTTGCTTGAATGTAGATTCAGTTCTCGTGGTAATTATGCTCTTTCAACAGATATGCAAGGACAAGTCTGAAGCAGAGATCTGGTTTGTGGCCCTTAGAGCATTGATTTCACAGGGTAACGTGCAAAAATGGACAACTGAAATTAGGGCAGATGGCACATTATCAGACTGTTCAAGCGATCAAACAGAAAGAAATTCTCAGTCAATCGTATCGAATAGCAGCAGCGATGCAGTTCATGAGGTTTCCTGTCACAATATTTTTTAGGGCTCCAGAATCTTCTATTTCATCTGATTCTTGATTATTATTATTGCAGGATATACAGAACTATCGAACAAGTGATGCCTCATTTGAGAGGCTGCCCCAGAAAAGGCTGGCAAGAGCATTTTCTGACGTTGTACTACATAAAACATCATCTTTATGCTCCCCACAGAGAGATTCTATTTTCTGTTCCGGCATTTCAGAACCAAATGAATCTGGTCGGAACTCTGCAGATAGTCGGCTTAGTTTCTCCAGCGCCATAAGTACATCTAGCCTCGAATCTTCTCCCGGAGATATTCCTCTGTGCAGCATTTTCATGTGGGGAAAAGGAATCGAGGATGGCCTACTGGACGGAGACTCTTTTCCAGGAAAGGACACATTTTCGCCCAAGTTTCTAAAATCTGCCTCGATAATTGACGCTCAGAATATGGCTTGTGGCAGTGGACATGCTGTATTAATCTCGAGACAGGGTCAGGTTTTTAGCTGGGGAGATGGCTCGGGCGGCAAGCTGGGGCATGGATCAGAAGCTGATATCTCTAGCCCTAAGCTAATTGATGCTCTTGTTGGACTGAACATTGTATCAATAGGGTGCGGCGATTATCACACATGTGCTGTAACCGCAACTGGAGGTCTGTACACATGGGGAGATGGCATCCATAACTCTGGCCTTCTTGGGCATGGAACTGAACTCAGTTACTGGACCCCACGAAAAGTCAGGGGTCAGATGGAAGGCATCTCTGTGGCATCCATATCTTGTGGACCTTGGCATTCGGCTGCTATCACATCACTCGGTCAGCTGTTCACTTTTGGAGATGGAACTTTCGGTGCGCTAGGTCATGGAGATCGATTTTCCACGAGTTTCCCTAGAGAAGTAGAGGCTTTAAAGGGACAAAAAACCGTGAGAGTATCGTGTGGGTTTTGGCATACTGCTGCAATTGTAGAGGGTAATTCTGATTTGCCAAGCTGTAGCGACGCTTTTGTCGGGAATCTTTTCACATGGGGAAACGGAGATGATGGGAAGCTTGGCCTTGGTGATAAACTATGCAGATTAGTTCCTTGTTCTGTAGCTACGCCAAACGACAGAAGCTTCTGTCAAGTAGCATGTGGGCATACTATCACCGTTGCACTTACAATTTGTGGACAAGTGTATACAATGGGCGGTCATGGGAATAGTAGCCGCACACTGCCGATAAATATCGAGGGTAAACTAAAAGACTGTTTCGTTAAAGAAATATCGTGTGGCTCTCATCATATTGCTGTTGTGACTTCTAAGTCGGAAGTATTTACATGGGGGAAGGGAAAATATGGTCAGTTAGGCCATGGGGATAATGCAGACAAGAATTCTCCTACTCTAGTTACAGCTTTAGAGGGGAAACAAGTAAAGAGGGTCATTTGTGGAACGAATTTCACTGCAGCAATTTGTACTCACAAATGGATATGCGCAGCTGATTACTCGATTTGTGCCGGCTGTCGTAGTCAATTTAATTTCAAACGTAGGCGTCATAACTGCTACAACTGTGGGCTTGTTTTTTGCAAAGCGTGTACGAGTAAGAAATCCTTGCGCGCTTCTTTGGCTCCAAATCTGAACAAGCTACATCGCGTATGTGAAGATTGTTTTTCTAAACTGAACAAGGGCTTGGATAGCAGATTGAACTCTCGACCTCCTAAGTCCAATAGCCTATGCCTACGTGTGGACCCCGGTAAAGAAAAAAAGAAAGAGCCCTCCAAAGCTACTTCACACAGCGCACTTTCAAGATTATCATCATTTGATTCATTCAGAAGGTCTAATACGCAACTTTCCAAGAAAAATCAGAAGCTATTGTTGAGTAGTACTCCCAGTTCTCCATTTCGTGAAGGAAATTTCGGATGCGATAGGTCCTCTCAATCAAGTCCGTCGGCATCTATATTTGACAGCTGTGAACAGAGTTTTAAAATGCACCCTACATCTTCTCTTGTCTCCACAAAATTGACTCCTCACTTTCGCGAAGAAGTTAACGATGATTCCAAGCAGACAAACGAGGACCTCGCCGAAGAAATCTCATTTCTGAGGGAACAGGTAAAATCATTTTCAGGCGAAAATTGGAATTTTTATCTATCAATGCAACAGTACTCCTTGGATTTGTTTATGACCTTCAAAGAATATGCATTCTTGTCTTGAAGAAAACAACCAAGAAATATAAAATTGCTGGCACTTGCGCGTTTCTCAACCTGACCTATTTTTGACATGTAGTACATTCTGTTAACATAGACACGAATATAAATGCTTGTCTGTTAGATCTCGGAGCATTTGCCGAACAGTTAATAGGGCCTTTTTGCAAATGATGGGATACTAGTATTGCTCAAGCAATGAAAAAGAATGTGTTACATGAAAACAGAGTGTTTCAAAAATATAATGTAGGTTTCCTTGTAAAAATAGCCGAACTCAATATAACTAAAAGAATTGAGTTGCTAGTAGCAATATTGCACAAGTTTCTTTCGTTCTAACTCATGAAATTCGTTTTTGTTTAGAATGTGGTACTTGCTCGATTAATTTTTTGATGATGACACGTCTACTGTAGGTGGAACTTCTCACTCGCAAGTCTCAGATGCTCGCAGGAGAACTGGCAAAAACGTCAGATCAATTAAATGAAGCAACTGCAATTGTTCAGGATGAATATGAGAAAAATAGTTCTGCCAAGGAAGCCATAAAGCGTCTCATGAGTCAGGTTAGTGTGCTTACCGTTTGTCTCGAATATAATATGAACTAAGAGATCATCAATTTAGCATTGATCTCTTTATGTGACTTCTTAAAATTGTTATTTTCTTAGGGACGAGAAACATATTTAGTTGGTTTTGTTGAAATCTGTCTTACTTCGAAGACTATAGATCATGGGTGTAATTGCACTTATCTTATTGTAGTTCATTCTCTCGGGCCTCGTTTGGTTGGGTAGATTAGCCATAATTAACTAAATAATTGGACTTTGTTTGATGTTTGGTAAACTCAATAACTTCCCCGGTCAACCCGAAAGTATTATGTTATCATGCCTTTTAGGGAGCTTTTTTGTTGGACCTTCCGGGGTCCGATAAAACAATTGGGTTTTCATTACATTATTTAATCTTATCTTGGCAACCAAACGAGGCCTTGCATCATTCAGCTGTTTGTTTGTTTTTTAAATTTTTTTTGTATGTAATAAATATATGGACCATGATCTCTATATTTGAAAATATTTCTTATTATGTTTTCTTTTTTTTTCGTAATTCAGTTGAAAGAAATGGCTTCAAAGGTACCTCAAGGGCCTTCTTGCCGAACATTTGGCCCATGTGCTGATATGTACCATGTTCTAAGCACTGCTTCAACCTGAAACCGATGCTCGTTTTAAATTTGACTGATTAGGAAGCAAAGTATGAAGAGATACATCTCGTTTCTCCTAGTGCTTTTTACAGGTATATACAGATCTCCGTACATGGATCGTTCCCTTTATCCAATAAAAGTTCTTTTTTGAGCCGATTGTTAGAGGAAATTGCATTCCTTTTTAGGTTTCTGGAGAAAAATACATAGCAAACAGATCATATATAGTACATACAGAAGTTATAAGTATATCTTAGTTGAGTCAAACGAACTTCTACTGAAGTCTATGAATGTTGAATCATTCAGATTTTTTTTGTTTATAGTTAGAGGCGCGTTAGCCGCGCCCCACTTTTTAAAAGAAAAAAAGGAGGCAAAGAAATGCGAACGAGTACTTACTATTGGTGTTATAATGTTCAAAAATAAAGTTCATGAATGAATTTCGGTTTCGATTAAAGACTTGACATTGGTGTTGATAGTGTTTCGAAATGTAAGTGCTGCTTTACTCGAGTTATAGTTTTGTAGCAAAAAACCCCGTTTCTTTGTCTGCGATCAATGAATTTCCGTTTGGATTAAAGGCTTGGTAGTTTTGAAGGATTTGAAATCTAAGTACTGACAATCGAATTTCCGTGTGATTGTATTTTGTTTTGATTATTATTTCATGTTCAAAATTCAACCCCTCTTATTTTCCTTGTAAAAAAAACAAAAAATGGACTAGGAAAATATATAAAGAATGTAACAGAAAAATATAGTGTGTATTAGTGTTCATGTAGCCCCCTAAACAAAGACAATAAAGAAGAAATTTAGCAGACCAAATAGAAATTGCATCAGCACAAAAACTACTGCTGCACTGTTCAAGTTCAGAAAGTTCGATCATGGCTCATAAAAAAAACCCTTCATTCCCGTTTACGTAACAGTTAATGGAGATTTTCACCCGCATTTTTCAGTAAAAAAATGCCTAAGGTAGCCCTCGTCTTGGTTTGAACTATGGAGGTGGGTTTTAGAGTTAGCATTCATCGTCATCAGAATATTCTGTTTTCTCTACTTTGATTATTTGGGCCACAATTTCTTGAGCTTCTGCAAGCGCAGACTCTTTTTCTTCCCCAGCATACAAAATCTTCTTAATTGCCATCGACATCTGCCAACACATAAAAAAGTAAATAAGAAATCAACCCCTGCGCATAATTTGCAGCATCTACATAAGTCGTATGACTCGACAACTGAAAAACTAACAACACATCATCAAATTGCATGTATCCCGCATACTTCTATCGAACATTTGATGCATCAAAGAATTATGATGAAGGTCTATAACTATGTCTTCTAATCTAAATCTTCACTTAGGTTAAGCTTTTCGGCAAACCAAAGTCGATATGGTAGCTTGATTAAATTCAAGAAACATTGATGATGCATACGCGTAACCAATCATCAACGTGCCAAATGTTTGAGCACAGGTCGAAATATTACATAGGAAAGGATTTTGAACTTAACATAATTGTTCCGCATCAATCAAAGTTGGTTAGCACACATATTGTGCACTAAGGCCTCGTTTGGTTCTGAAGATATGATTAACCACCACATAAGATTATACAATCTTGTGACAATCCAACTGTATAATTGGACTAAAAGTTAATGCACTAATCAAAGATCATATAAAACATAATCACTTATTTAATCATGGTTTATCTTACCAAACAAACGAGGCCTAATTTGATCCCACTTTATAAAAATTGACAGATAGAAACACAACAGGCGAAATTTCACAAGGGCTCGTGATAGGCATATAATATTACGTTTGACAGGTACTGAAGTTATTATATATAAGTGTTTGAAATCTTACCGGAAAATTTTCCAACTCGGGAGTCTGAGAAAGTATTTCAATGTCCCGCAATTTCGCAAAGTAAAAATCTCTTTCCTTCTCCAAGAGGTCAACGGAAAGCTTTAGATCCGTAAGCTGGATATATCATCATGTCAAAATATAAGCACTTAATTTAAAACCATAAATGTAACTAACAAAAAAAAAAAGGAAAGACGACTTCCAATCAGCACATAATTGCGGTAGTAATTTGTATTGAACTGCACTAAGCCCACAAACAAAGCCACCTACCGAATTATTTCAGACAGTCCTTGTAAGGAAAAAAATTATGGAACAGTTTTGTTGACAAAGAAATGAAAGACCAACAGAAAAAGGTGGCAACCCTTTTCTTCCGATTAAATAACAATGACAGAAACCATATTATATACGTCTTAAACATTAAACGTCTTTTTGACAGCTGTCACTATTACCTCTCCGGTCAATTCTTGAATCTCTACTGAAGAATTGGCCACAGTTGCAACACCACCTACTTTCCCTTGTTTAGTAACTGAAATGAAAAATTTAGAGATGTGTAAAACAATAAACTATGGAGTGTGTATGTGTGTGCGTGTGTGTGTGAAAACGAAGAAAAGACAAGAAAAAAAGGTTTAGTTCAAGTTTACCGGATATCTTATTACTACCCATTCCATCGCTCGAGACAGAATTCAAAGAGTTGTTTGTTTGCAATGACTTGAAGTTCTTTTGAGAACCCTTTGAATTTCTTTCTTTCCCACCTTTATTTCTTCGCTCCGTCGGATTATAGTTCCTGCGACAATTTATTCGTTATTAAAAGAATTTATATCGAGTTACATAAATGTTTCGAACAAGTGCATTACTACATGAGGGTATATTACTCTTTCATAGTTCCACCGTTTATAGAATCACAATAGCGTTTTAGCCATTGCAGAAATTCCAAGTTGTCCAATGGCCTTCCCTTCACAAGTTTGTTCACCTCGATATGCTGCAAAATTCGAATAAACCGTCAAATTTTATCCAATTTCAGCTAAGAGAAGCATTCGTAGATAATTAGCATTTAGTTCTCTAATTTTACGCTGCACTTTTTTCTTGATAAGCATTTTCGAGTGATGCTAATACTATGACAAAATTTTGTAATAGACGAAAAAAGAAGAGGAATGTGCAATCGAGAGGGATAATACCTTGGTAATTTTGAGCTTGTTGAAAACTTCCTGAAGTATTTTGTAATTCTGAATCATATCATATTCTGTCTTGGCATCGAAATTAACCTACAATAGATGTGATAATGTCGGTAATAGGCAAACTATTACATTTTAAAAAAAACATTAAAATTTACAAAAAAAAAAAAGAATTTGTCACCTTATGCATGGGAACAACTCCCGGATGTGCCATGTCCATCATCTGACATTGAACAGCCCCAGATGCCGCCTACATAAAACGTAAAAGGTTTATCAATTGAATAAACATACGAATTATGCATTGTCATTTTAGTCAATAAAAGACACAAAGAAAGATTTCAAAAAAAAAAAGGGTTGACAAAACAATACTAATGATTTAGATTTCTCGTAACCTATCCACATTTCGGAAAAGTTTACGTGTTGGGCACTTTTGTAATTTCCACAAAAAATAGAAACACGGTTAATAGCAAATCTTTAAATATTTTTGTTGCTTCTTTAATTCTTTACATGATTTGATAATGAATTGCAAAATGATAGTTTGTAGTACTTATTACTTCAACATTTTCGTATATGAAAGTATACTTATAGAAATATATATCATATAAATAAATAAATAGAAACATTATCAATTATATATTTTCACATAATCAAAATCATCAACTTTTACATACTCACCTTACGACCAACGTAATCTTGATTTCCTACTCTTTTGGGGAAAATATCAAGGTATCATAACCATGTTTCGGTCGAATTCATTCGAGCACTTGTTACCGTAAGGAATCAAATCAATGTAATTAACTTTGATTGGTCATTCGACATTTTTATTATCGTTTAATTTTTTTTTTTAATGCTAGTGCAATTACCAACTCTCAACAGATAAATAAACCTTCCAAAATAATATTCAAATAAATAATTGAATCCGTTTCATTTTATAGGAGCAAGTATTAATTAACCGAAACTTTTAACGACCCATTGACTTCTTCACCAAAACGATACCGAAAAATGATGTTAAAAAATTCGTTAACAGCCATCTTTTATCTGCTTCAGCATGTAAAAAAAGCTACTAACAGCTGAACTCAATCCAAATCCGAAAATTCAAATCCCTTTAGGCCATTTTTTTAAAACACAAAATTCAATTTTTTCACAAAAATAAATTAGGGCAAAAAGAACCAAAATTCAAACTTCCTAGAAACCCTATTAACTCAATAATCACACAGGAACATAAAATCAAGCTATATTAATAGCAAAAACTAAAAGAATTTTCAGACAAGAACATAAAAGAAACAACAAATACATATATTCTGAATCACAAAAGAAGAGAGAATTTTGAAAAAAAATTGGGGATTTTTGTACCTCTTCAACGCGAGAGAGATTAAGATGAAGCCTGGCGTTAATCCAGGCAAGGATCTCATTCCTCCCCACAAAGTATGCACCATCCATCATCCCTATATTCGTCGCCATTTTTCTTCTTTTTAAAAATTCAATTTATTTTGCGAAATTCAGATACAGCCCTTCAACACCTGACTGGATTTTTTTCTTTGTTCTTTGAGAGAGAGAGAGAGAGAGAGAGAGAGAGAGAGAGAGAGAGAGAGACGATAACAAGAGAGCGGAAAGTTTTCAGCTTTTGTAATTCAAATTTTTTGGGGATTTTGTTACTGTTTTTGTATGTTTGAAGTTAACGGTAATTTTTTGTAATTAATTGGCTGAATAATAATAATAATAATAATTAATATACTATTGGGATTTGTTTCTCTAGGAGCAGCAAATAATGGAGTAAATGTTCCAACAATAATAAATATCTTTTTTTTTTTTTTATCCAAATGGGAGATGATTCTTTGAATTATATACTTATATACACGTTTTTAGAATGTTATTTTAAAATATAAATAAAATCTCCCAATTAAGTAATATAAAGATATCAGCGCAAGGGATGGTCTAGCGATCGCAGCAAGCGAGCATGTGTCAATTGACCCAAATTTGAATTATTTTGTCAATTGTTGTTAGGTGGAGCTTGTCACGGATAGCCTAGTGTGATTTACGTCTCTCGTATGATTTGCAAGTTTTATAGGAGAATGTAGGTTTACTCAGTGCACTTATGTGGTTGGTTGTCGGTTCTTTTATTACAGAAAAGAAAAAAAAAATCAATTGAAACTTTCAGAATTGGAATATATAATTGGGATAATTAGCTATAACCCCCTTATTTCAAACTTATATGGCTATGAGTCCAATGTGTTAGATTAGTATAGCTATAGGCCCTTTGACCAAAATTTTTAATTAAATTAATTAAAATTATAAGCCTACGGACATAAATACCCTTCCAGTAAATTATTTAATTAAGGAAGCAGTTAATTCAGTAAATTACGTTGAATAAATCCCAAATATCACGTTGTAAGATTTGGAAGGAAGTTATGAGACGTGGGTTGAAAAAAAAAATATCGGGAGTTTATCCGTGGTAGAATTAAAGAACTCATTCATCGTTATAAGATCTTAGAATTGTATGGCTTTAGTTTCGTGAAATCTAATGCAATTAGGTATATTTTTGTTTTTCGTATTGCTATCAACATGAAGAGGAGCTACGTCAATAGGTTTGTTTTGTTGTTGGAAAGGAGTTTATGAAACGTGGTTGATTCATCTTTGACGACACTCTTATTTTATTTCGCAAAATCTCTGGTTTAGATTTCGAGATTGAAATTCGAAATCAGACTTTTGATTCAATTTGGCAGGCATTAAATTAAATTTTGTGATTTTTTTAGGGTTGATGGTGCAAGATTGAAGGAGAAGATGACCATACAGAAAGTGATTGAGCCCGATTCACATATGTTCTCTTTATTTGCTCATCAGGAGAAGATTTCATTTAGTTTTTTTTTTTTCGTGCAAACCAAAACGAGTACAAAATGGCTCGCTCGTTCTCAGCCGATAAATTCATTCTGTATTTAATCGTCAGAGCAGTTCCGTATCTAGAGGCTCAAGGACATCGACTAAATCTGATAATTTTGAGACGAAAATTGTGTTTGTTGTTTGCTATTTTTTTTACACTTTGTTGTTATATATTTATTTTTTGTTGTTAGTATGGTACTATTTGCACTTTGCTTTTAATTCTTGCAGTTTATGTATATAATGTGTTTTTGCTCGAATATATTTTTACTCTTTTGCTGCTTTTGTTTACTGTTTTAAGTTTTTTTTTTCATACATGATTGTCACTGTTAATATATGTTCTGTAAATATCAAACTTTAAAAATCCATTCATAATTCAAACATCAAACAGCAAAACATCATGTTATAATGTCCATATCGAACAACAAACATCAAGTTTTTTTTCATCTATTTATGTCGATTTGCACAATTTTCGATGTTGGTGGTTTTTTGTTTTGCATTTTGCTGTTTCTAGCAGACTATATTTTACACTTTGATGTTATATATATTTTTTTTGAGTTGTTGGCATGGTATTGTTTGCACTTTTGATTTTTATGTTTGCAGTTTGCATATACGATGTGTTTGTTGCTCGACTATATTTGTGCATGTTGTTGCATTTTGCGAAACAGACTATATTTTGCACTTTGATGTTATATATATTTTTTTGAGTTGTTGGCATGGTATTGTTTGCACTTTTGATTTTTATGTTTGCCGTTTGCATATACGATGTGTTTGTTGCTCGACTATATTTGTGCATGTTGATGTTATATATGATGTAATTTTTTGGTATAATATTATCTACACTTTTGACGCCATATATTTATTTTTGCAGGTGGTATTGTATTATTTGAACTTTGCCTTTTCTTTTTGCAGTTTGCTTATAAATTACAATAGCAAAATGCAAACTATAACAGCGGAATGAAGACTAAAGACTTGTGAGAATTTTGTTGCAGCAGTGTATAGCATAACAAAAATCGACTAAAGCCCTTTGACACTTTGCCTGTTTTTTTTAACAATGTACTGAATTTATAAGAACTTATGAATTGACAAGCATATACCAATACACAAAATAACTGCATGAATTTGGAATATATTAGAAAATAGTTCATATCAAAATCCAACAAAAATATAATGCCACAAATAAAAATCAAAGCTCTGCTAAACATAAGTAAATATCATAAAAAAAAAATCTAATTAAACTCAACGATATCCTCGTCGTTCAAGAACTGATAATTAAAAGTTTTTCGAGTGCGATATCCCACTTGCTGGAGTTTTCTCACTAATGGTTGTTGCATGCACAACTGCCTTGCCATATACAAGACAAAAATCCCACAATCAACCAAATCTGGTTTGTTGAGGCGATGTCGAAACTTAATATGGCTTTGTGTTATCGTGCAAATAGATTTGGCTTGATTCATCGTTGCTTCCCTCTTTTTGAAGAGGCAAATAATTCATCTATTTTCCTCTCCCGTTTCGTCAAATCAACTGTTCAATTGGAAAAAAAAAATTATTGGACAACCATGTCGGTACCTATGCAAAATGCAAAATGAAAAAAAAAACATCAAAGTGCAAAACGCAAAATGCAAAATAAATATCAAAGTGCAAAATACACTACGCTAGAAACAACAAATCGCAAACAGAAAAAAAAACAACGAAATCGAATATATGTTACAATCGACACCAGAAAATAACATGAACAAAAAAAAACAAATGTTTCACAAAACAACAAAATGAAAACACAAAATAATGTAACACATACCAGGAAACTCCAAACAAACAATCAACGGATTTAGGAGGAAAAAGACAAATTTAACAAAATACTCCAAAGGGCCGAAAAGCACAAAAGACGACAAAACAAAAAATCGCAATCGAGTTATTAAAAGATGTAACAAAAACGCAAAACAACCGGAAAAATATTGTAAATGAACAGTAAAACCAAACAAAAAATAATGTCAAAACGAAAAAAAAAAAAAAAATTACATGGGGTTAAAACCTCTAATTTGCATCTTTCACTTATGTTATAAAAATAACCTATTGCATTCCGTCAATGAATCGCCATTAAAGACATTTACAAAATCACAAATCAAATTACCTGTACGTTTCGATTTTGCACTATCCTCTAGGATGTGTTTTCTTTGTTGGCGATTTGCAGAAGTTATAGAGATTACATCGTTCTCGGGAACAACGATAGGGGAACAGAGATTGCATTGAAGAAAAGGGGGCAGGGAGAAGTTTTGTTTTTCGAGAGATTAACGATGGAAAAATACAATTTGGGGAGGATTTGCAATTGACGTTTTGCAGCACGATTTATGCTAAAACCGGTTTTCATGGAGGATTAATAGGAATATATATATTTAAGAATATAATTTTCCTATTTTTGCTAAAGGGCAAATCAGCCATAAAAAATAGTAGGGGGTTATAGCAATATTGGACTTATGACTTGAATTTTAACCAATATAATCTAATAATGGAGGGTGTATAGAAAATTACCCCTATATAATTATATGTTTTAGAAATATTAATTGACTTAATTCTCATAAATAATAAAGACGGGAAATATCACTTTTTTCTGAGTAAACTTAAAAAAAAAAAAGGTTATTATTATTATTATTATTAAAAAATAAAAAAATAATAAAGAAAAATAAAAAAGAAGCAGCTGGCCTTGGCCAGCAACATAAAAGCTATTTTCTGTCATATTCGATGAATTATTAATTAATATGTTACTTTCACAAGCATGCTTGTTGACTGTTGAAGGTTTTCTTTATTTACTTTTCAAATTTTTAGTAATACGAATATATAATTATTAATGATTTCGTTTATATGATACACTAAATATATTCGTTATATTATTATAACTACTAAACAAAAATCCATGATTCATGTATTATTATTTGACTAAATGGGTTGGATTGAAGGCTTTTAATAATATTTAATTAAGTACTACTAGAAAATTGGATGGTTTTGGATAGTAAGGAATCATTAGTAGAAAAGTATTGCCTTATTGGTTTGTTTACTCTTTTCTTGATTTGTGTCTAAACTCTCCATTTGGTTCCTAAATCTTGTAGTCACACCTTTTGAAAGTTTGTGTTTGTCCAAAGGGCTAAAAAGTAGCAAGTTGATAAAGCTCATAATTATATATTTGGTTGTGTATCAATACAATACAGTACGGTGGTACGCCCAGTGATGAGTATAGGAATTTGATACATGATGAGCTTAAATTTACAGGAGTTTGGGGGCAGCGCCTCCAAAAAACAATTAGGATTTTTTTGAAAATAGGAAAAGAAGAAATGAAAAAAAAAAAAAAGACAAATTTTAGAATTTTTTTTTTTTGCATTAATTTGGATTTTGGATGGGCTAATTACTAAATTTGGATTAATTTGGATTTTGAGTGGGCTAATTAATAAAAAAAATATGGGGCTTCTTTTGCATTAATTGAAATTTTGGGTGAGCTAATTAATAAAATTTGGATGGGCTAAATAGATATATAGTATAATATAGGGGGGAAATTGTAAATTGAGGGTGGGCTTGAGTCCACCCTTGCCTAAGAGCTCGTTTGAAGGATTAAGTAAGAATGCTGAATATAGGCCTGAATGACTAAGAGTTGTGTCTGAATGTTGAATGTTGAACAATTTAATTTATTTGGTAACTGAATAT